TCTTTACAAAAACAATTAATTTTCGGATTTCGGTTTTTTTTTTAGTCGAACAAGGAAAATGGTGTACTTTTTGAACTCGGACAAAATACTTTCTGTGGAGAATTCAAATATGTAGTATAGTCTTTCCGAACTCAATTGAACATGTATAAAAACACCTAGCAATAAAGTTTCATAGGCGTCACTAAAAAAGTTTTCTGCTAAAGGTGAAAATTTGTATATAATGTGTAGAAAATTTCTATTACATGTTCATTTGGCCAACAGCATATTTTAATTATGTATTTATGTTCTCACACAACTTTATTATATTGATGGTAAATTTCGTTTTGTTCGTTTCAAAAGGTCTCCAAAATGCCATGTTGTAATAATATTAGTAAACAAAATATCCCTCTTATTTCTCCCTTTTGCAATTATTGTAATATGAATGATTAATAGAAGGCGTCTATAATAACTTAAAATTACCTGAATCACACCAAATTCCGCATTGCTGCAGTGCACTGCTAGGAAATTTTTTGCAAATTTTTAAATGAAAGATTATCAATGTCTGAGACTAAGTATTCTGATTCCACAACAACCTGATGCTCTTGCTCATTTTGAATATATTCGAAATTTTTATAATCTTTTTAAAAAATATATTTTATTATCAGCCCTCGCATTTTTTTAACTCTATTTTAAAGGCAATAAGGTAATTCAAACGAATTCAAAAAGTATTTTTTTAATCTTAAAATGAAATCAATGTTTTGGATACCACATACAGATGGTATATAACCCTACAGACAAGAATTCCAACTGCTGATATTGGTTGACAATACCTAAGACAACAAGTAGTAATAATGTAATAAATAATTATCCAAAATAAAAACTAAAAATAATATGTTTAAACATAATTAATACAAAAACACATTCCTGATATATTGAAAATGTTAAATAATGTAATCATTCAAAGAAATATCCTGTATTCTTGGCGTTCTAATGTCACCCTTGACATCAAAGGCTAATCAAGTAAAAAACTGCTCCCGCAGAAAGATCTTTTTGTTTCTACATTTTGCTTGGGATTGTTCCATCAGGTATCTTCCTCTCTTGTATGAAATAAACAAATATTAACAGAAATGAATTATATCTAAACATCAAACCTTTAGAAAAAATTATATTTTGAAACAATATTGTCAAAAACTGCAACACAACTAAATCGATTATAATTGTTTTTCTGCCTTAAAAAGTATTTGCTCTTTTTATTAAATTTATTTTTTTTAAACAATTTTAATTACATTTAAAATTTATGAATATTTTGGAAATACGGAAATGCTGTGATGATTTTTTGTTACAATAATACCTCAAGATTTTTTTTTTATGATATGTATAATAATATAGTATTTTATAGTTACATATAAGTATAACTAACTAGAATCATTTATATATCCTAAATTTTAACAGAAGTTCAATTTTTTCAGTTTTCTGTCTTTTTTTTCTCTTTTGAGAACAAACTGGTCATTCTGAGCAATAAGTACCAACTTCTAAAAGTCGAAATGGACTATTGATTTTCCAAAAGTATTTTTTTTAATATATGTATATTTTGTATAACACATATATATTGGTTTATATTGGCAAATATGTAAAGATTAGAACATTTAATTTTTCCTATTTTTCTAAGAAAAAAAAACAGTTATTCCTACGTCCAATTTTTCCGGAAATCTGATCTTGACCAACACAATGTTAAAAATTGAGTTTAACTTCAAATCACTATAATGATCATTGTTCTCAAAATTTCAATCCTCTTGTGACGTTGACTAATATAATCTTATTATTATTTATAATCAGGTGACTTATACACGTATTGAAGTCATTATTATTATGAAAAGCTACCCTGGTATGTCCACTTTCACAGAAAACAAAACTACGCTACTAGCGTGAGCATTAGCAAATTGACGATAAAGATCGTCTAAAAAAAAAACGCGACAAATTCTAGATTTAAAAGGTCTGGCATTTATCTAAAAGCATAAAGCTACCCTCGATTTTTTGCGTGTAGTAATATCACATTATAGGATGGTCTCGGCAGCAAACTGAATTTACTACCATCATCGCATCACCACACGGTTATCCCTGGGGGCGCCTTCCGTAATATCGATTTCAGCTAAAAGTAAACAGTGCCTTTACTGCTTCTCCTCGTCGGTCATTTGCTTTACACTGGCTGGGAGCGGAAACCACCGCGGTAAAGTATCATCAAATCAGGGAACGAATCCAATTGGACGTATTGGTCAATGCGTTTTTTCTTACAAAACGGAGAAAATGAAAAAATAAACCTCTAAATACTTTTCATATAACCTTTTCATAAAGTTGACGTTTTTAAAAGAAGAACTGTACAAATTTAGGCTTTAACAGCTCACACCCGCATTTAAAGCGTACCGCCCACGCGCGGTTTCTGTTGCTGTGGGGCCCACGCACTTGTTTTTCATCCTGACGAGGTAAAAAGGTTTTTCATACTGTTTTCGTATGTAGAAAAATATGGCTGCTTGCATCACGGCATGTACTAAAATGGACATTTCCTTTATGTAATAGAGATCATCTGCCAGAAAGCAACAATGTTTGAGTGACATACCATCAGTCCATTGCCAGAAAAAAGTTTGAGGTCGAGTTAAACTTGACATAAGACAAACACCCAAATGTATTAAATGTCAGTATAGAATAAGCAAAAAACAAAAACAAACATGCTTTTAAGATAGTTAATAAGTTTTATCTCAAAAAAAAAAACAAAAAACAAAAATTTACAACAATTAATTGATTTCATAAAGGCAACGCCATTAAGTATTTGAAGGGAATATTAGGTAAGATTTTGATACCGTCCCTATAATATTAAACAGATATTGCGCAAAAAAAAGTGAAATAATGAATAGCGCCTAATGATCGCATTTTTGGTGACGGAATTAATCAAGTATTTCTCGGTAATATTAGAAAAGACATTCTTCTTGAGTTCGTATCATTCGCAAGGTATTTTTTAGAATTATATTTTAGCCGTCAATGTATTTAATTGAAAATTGATACAAGTAAACTTTTGAAGGTACTAAATACGTCAATGCTGTTAGTTTTTGATATTTCCCATTGACATTTGAGAATTTCAGTGTATACACAAGAAGTATTTTTATTAAAATCGCCGAAAATAAATCCTTTTTTGAAAAAAAAACGCAATTAATTGTCTCCAAGTCAACAAGATTCAACTAGATAGATTTCACAGGATCTAATGACACTTACAGTGTACGATAATTCAATAAATAAAGAAATCTAAATAAAAAATTTAGATAAATTTGGAACGAATACACTGAAGATGAAATTTTCGAGACAAAACGTCTAAATTTGGTTCAGGCTGAGGCAGTACTGTATTGGGGGTCATGAAGACTTTCTGAAATTTCTAAGGTCGTATTTAAAAAAATGAAGTTGATGGTCCTGAAGAAACGAAACGTTACATATAAAAATTTATTATGCCATTCGATAGATGGCAAAAAGTGGCCATGAGAAAGTGTTCTCCTTTTTTCAATATCACCTCAAACAAGGCTGAAATGAAACAAAAACGGATTTCCAAAATTTCGGTTTTTTTCAAATATTTCGAATACTAATCATGTTAGCCTTGATTTTTTAGAGGCATAATGTTGATCCCCTGATTACGCTACTTTGCCCCCATTTAAGCTAGCTGTATCTCTTACCGTTTCGAGATCCCTGTAGTGAGAAGCGAATTTGTAACAGCCTGTATGTCTCATTTCTGTGGTGTGCCTTTTTATATGTTGTCCGATAATGAATACCTTGGTAGTCTTGCTTCATTAGAAAGTTACAGGCCTTAAAAAAGTGTTGTTTAATATTTTTGAATGCCCGTAACTTTTTCAGGCAGCACAATTAATTGTAATGAGGCAAATTGATATAAATCGGTTTATTTTCATCTAAGGAAGTTACGTTTAAAGCATTGCCCACTCATTTGCGGACACTATGTATATTAAGGATAGAAGCTGGCCGACTTTGATACAGTCAAATGAGTTTCTCTCATTGTCAGAAATGATGCGTTTACTCCGATTTAAAATGAAATTTTATATTGAAACAAAAGACGTATCGGTACTATAAAAATCCTAACCTCAAAAAAAGTTATGTCACAATATGTCACTGAGGCAGTACCTAGCGCCCTCTAACACACGATCAAAAACTAACAACACTGAAGTATAAAGTACACTCAAACGTGCCTGAACTAAATTTCAATGCAATACAATGATTTTAAAAAATCATCTTTAATGTCCTGTATCTCAAAAACAAAAGATGATGGCTTAGGGTACATTAGAAAAAATTGTTTTATTTTTTGATGATTTATTGTGCTCTAAAGTTTTTGCATTCATTTCATATCAAAGTTTTTATTATTAGTGTTGAATATTATCAGAAATATACAGTAACAAAAATTAAAATTCATAAGACCGAAGTCCCTGGTCCCTGCTTTTCTCAAAGAAATATGTATCATAAGCCCATCTAAAAAGCACTTCTTCAATAAATGCTGAACAGACATCTCTAGTTTTATTCATTAGCTCTAATTTCCAACAATTAGGGTCTAATTAAAATTATTTTTTTTAAATATCTTTACACGTTTTCTGAACACTTTTGTATATGTATCTGATCGTCATGAACCTTATTCCGCTTTAAACTGTGTATTTATATTTTACATTTTTTCGAGACAACTAAATTCTTTATCATCCTGCCTTTTTTGTGCAAACAACAGTAAACTTTGAACATAAAAATGAAAAATCGACTCATTTCCAAATCCGGAGATGCCTATTTTGGATTATACTGTTTCTTTTTCTGCTTTTTTCAACAACCCCCGCGTCAACATCACGCATCCACTTAACTGTTCATTAAAGAGAGTACTTTGTCGACGTCTCAAAGCCGCCAGCGCCGTGGGCAGACGGGCGTTCCCAAACAACCGAGTGCAAGAACCTCCCAAACACCCGCGAGATTATCTCTCATTCTCTCGGACTCACCGACGATAACGGCGGTAACTCCGTCCTTCATATCCTTGATATCCTTGGCGTCCGCATTGCCCACGCTCAAAAAGTCCGACAGTGACAGCGAGGAGGCGATCAGCCGCCTCTTCTCCTCGAAATTCAGGTAGTCCAGGCTGTTGCTCCTGGTCGGGGCGACGATGGCCACCGACTTCGGCTTCTGGGGATTGTTGCCGTTCTTCTCGTGCATCCCGACAGTCCTCCGGGGACGCACACACAAGAAAAGCGACACTCAATACGCAGCACACCGTACGGCTACATCCACCACCATCTTTTTGCACCGATACAATAACACCTGTAGAGGAACCCACAACAACAAAGCACAATCGAGGGGATCACGGCCTGCCCCGCGGGCCGGACACGGCAAGCTGGATCAGCGTGGATCGGATCATTTTTCACGGCTGGAAATGCACATGGAAAATGTGGCGGTAAGGGAGGGCCACCGGTCGCAATACCCAGTACATTTAAACTGAACGTCGGTAGTCGCAGTCGGTGAAGCAGCGCGTACCGAACGTACTCGTGTGTCGTTTGCGTTTGGGAGACGGAGGAAAGCACTCGCTGAGCGAGGATGGCCGAGAGGGGACCAGGGCCGGACCAGCAAGATTTTAAGCTTCAATAAATAATATTTAGATGGTGGCATTCGATTGTTATTTTTTTCTTTACTACAACGAAAATACTTACTATTGTACTTTCTCGACGTTTCGTCGTTTTTTTATTACATCTTCAGGACTCTACGATTGAAACATTTTTCGTTTGGAAATGAAATACAATGTAAAGTTAATCGATTTAATTTTTAATTTAAAGACTATAAAATCGGTTAAAGCATACAGTAATTAAACATGTTTTTTTATGTTTAATTATTGTACATACTGTACATAACTTGACTGATTTTGTAACTCCTCAAAAAGATGGGTTAACTTTATATTATTTTATATCATAACGAAAAATGTTTTAACAGTAGATTCCTGAAGATGTAATAAAATGACGAAACGTCGACAGTGTCATATTGTTTTTTTAATACTTTCTGACTCATTTCAGATAAAAAAAAACATAATTTAATGTAACTACAAAAATTAATGTGGGCCTGTGACACCGTTTTAAAATTTACTTAAAAACAACGGACAACTAAGAGTTATGTTGCATACCTAGATTTCTGGCATCTAAAAACGTTGTTTGTCTTTATTTGATAAGTAGTATGATTTTTTACATAAAAAAAATTTAATTCGCTAAAATTAGTTAACAGAGTTAAATATACGAGAACTAATAATAGAATATGTTTTTTAAGGATAATTAGATGTTTTCAAAAAAACAAACAATAAGCTTATAATAAATATTTAAAATAAATAATAAAACTGTTAATTACATGTCTAGAAATTGCTTTATTGCCAGAAGCTAAGAAATTCCTATTAATTTTGTTATTATTTTAAAAGAATTTAAATACGTATATGCATTTTGAACATTTTTTATTTAGCTTACTTGAATTTAAAGGTTCGAAATTTTCACAGATTGGATGTAGCAAAAAACTATTTTTTCTCAGAAAAATCGAAGAAAATGAACTTTTGAACAATCTGAAATATATATAGTTCTAACTATTATGCCCATATAAATTATATTTAAAAAATAATCTTTAAAAATTACTTTAATCATTTCTGCTTTTTGAAAAAAACTGATAAAAATTTAGATAATTTTTCTTTCCGAGCTCGGGTTTTTAGTTTTCTATATTATTTTTTATTTGAGAGTACTATTTTGTTTATTTTCGTTGTTTACTAACGAAAAATTGATGTTTTGTTTCTATTTACTGTATTAAATAAAAAATTTACATATTTGCTTTTTGTTAACTGCCGATTCCGAAAAAAAATTTAGTTAAAATGTTATTTTCCTAATCATTAGTTTATTTCAGCAAAATATGCCTGGAAAAATATTTTATAAAATTTCCTTTCCTTAGTACAATTTAATACACACTAGAGCGAAATTTTAATAAGTACTTTTTCAAGTTTCTTTTTTATTTGAGATTCTTTAAAATTTAATTTTTTTCTAACTTTTTGTATGGGCAAAAAATAATAAGCATTATTTTAAATTTTCTCGTTTTTTCGATTGTAAAATGTTTAGTTGAATCACGTAAATATAATCACCAAATGAGTTTTTTTGCAGTTTGATAGAAAAAAAATAACTTCCATTTTATTGACCGGGTTAATATTGCAAATTTCTATGTTTTTATGCTACTATATACAGGAGAAGTCAAGTGTTTGTAGCAAATCTTTAACACTCGGCAGAAGAATTCGAAGAATAAAAAACGACCAACACGAGTCATAGAACGCTTCGTTTTCACGACAAAGGGCACTCAAAATCATTTCTTTTTATTATTTCTTTTTCGCAACTTAGTAACAATAAAAAGTATAATGATCTACGTAAGCTACGTAAGCAGAGAAAGTACTAATTTGTACAATAATTTAATAATAAGTAGATAGCAATTTAAGGTTTAATTTATAATTTATTTAAACACAAATATGTCATAAAAGTTCCCCATAACTTCTGCCTCCTAGTGTTCCTTGTTTGACTTTTGCTGCTTTATTTCTTTACCTTCTTCGTATTGAAGATTTGAGATATTCTAAGTTTTCGTTTTCGTATTTTAACCAAGAAAGTTTTTTTTTTGTAAAAAAGCACTAGTGACCGCTCTTTACAAAAACCTGACTCATCCCTTATAATAAATACATTATTAATATTAACAAGTAATTTACATAGATCTCACAAACTTAGTTAGAACTTGTATTATTTTAGATATATTTTTACAAGTGCTTCAGGAATAAAAATACTGTAAATAATAGGTATTGCCTTAGATACTGCTATTTATAAATTATCTTGAAATAAATAGGTCAAATTTGTTTACTATAAAAATATCAATGTTTTGCCATTTGATCTCTTAAAGTCAATACAAAATTAACGATATGTAATAATAATCTAACTGGATTCTTAAGGATTTCTTAAGAAAAGTATTCACAAAATTTGACAAACTGACTTTAATTTTTTAATAATACTAAAGACAAAAGGTACTTTTGGGCGCAAATAATCGCATATTTTTCGCTTAGTATATCCTAATGAATTAAAAAAAAGGCATATGATGTGTAGGAGGACGTTTCGACAAAAGGCTTATTATTGAAACAAATAAAAAAGGAGTAACGATTTTTACGATCTGTCAAAAGTTGGACTTGGTACAATTCAAAAAACTATAACACAAGCGCTCATCAGCAGCGAATCATAAAAAATAAATTATTATGCTCCAATTTCTCAACAATTAGGGGAGGGTTTTGGTAAAAGTAATTCAGGAATCGATAAAACAAAAAAATAATATTGTTTCTATGGAACATGAGTCTTTAATTTTTGAGATAGGAGACGTTAAAAATTATCATCTAAAATCAAATTTTAGCCATATATTTTCCAAAAAACAATGCAAGCTTCTATGTTCATCGCTAACTACTCCAAAAACCCCATTTACCGTGCCTTACTTGGAAATAGTTCCTATAAATATATAAAACAATATTCTCTCCGATTTAATATAGCTTTTTTGACATTAGAAATTCCTCAGACGCCTTCAAATTTGGTTGTCACTGGTTAGTTTTTCATCTAATTACAGCTACTGCGAAGATATTGGACTGTACCAAGTTTGAAGTCTATATCTTCAATGTTTTTTTATTATCGATCCCTGTATAAATGAAAATTATTAATGTTATTGACCTGCCAATCCCATAAATTGCATACAAATAAATATTTGAGTAGTTATAAGTCATTAAAACCACTTCCTTTAGCCTTGTTAGGTATATTTCGCAAATTTGTGTTAATCTACATTTATTTACCAATACAACCATATTATCTATAGTTATTTATTTGTAGCATAGTTTTAGTTTTATCACTCTTTATTTGATACAAATAAAATACACGAATCGCAAATAAAAACGACATTCCTAGTTTTGACGAGTTGTGTTTTGGAGGAGTATTTTTTAGTTGTTTATATTTTTCAATATCAGAATTTGGATAAGCAAACGTAGTTTCATAAAATAACCTTCGACTGTTTTTGCGCAAAGGTTTATTTAATTTAGAGAAAAAATATTAAATATCAGGTGAATCTGTTTAATGATGTAACGACTTTTCACTTCATATTTACGTTTTCTATCGCTTTGTTTGTGTTGCAACTTTCCTTTACATAAAATACGACAACTAAATCACTTAAATGCGTTCGGAAAGAGGGCCAATACGACCCTGGTACGCGTGCCTCCCTCCTTTATACCTCATGTCCATCCACGCGAACGTAGCCCCTCTCTCTTCCATTCACGGGTAGAAAGAGAAGCATAAGTCGCCGGGAAAACACAGATCCGTCCACAGCGAAGCAGGCGGTGCGTGTAACTATGGTGATGTGCATTCTCGCCCGACCGACCGGACGGCAGCCCCTTTTGGGGTGCAAGGGGAATCCGTTTTTCATCCCCCTTAAGTGCTCGTCTAGCTTTTTACATACACCTGATACTGGCGGGTAGGTAGCAACTACACAAAGACGCGGTTTTTGTGAAGGCGTATAATCACAAGTTTTTATTTTTTGTCGGATTAGATCAGAAGTGGGACATCGCGAAAAAAACGGGATGCGGCAGATAAAATTTCATTTATAATTCAGTTTGTTGAATAATCATACATTGTAATTCTACACCTAGAGAATGCCTAAGAGGAAAACTGCTAACTATTTTCTATAAAATTGCAAAATTGTTAGAGTTGCAGAACTACATTTCTCATTCACTAGAACTCACCCTACTGGCACCGGTTTACTGTAATTATTAAGTACCTTCCTGTTGCTAAAAAATACTTTCATGTTAGGTACAATAAAACAAACGATTATAAAAAATATATTTTGATTTGGATTAGATCAGAAAGTAGAACAAATAAGAAACACTATAAAATCTTGTTGACATCTTCAAGATTTGTTTCACAATAAAATACAATATAAATTTATTCAATTTTAAAAAAATTTTTAATAAAAAAGTTTAAAATCAATCAATCAGTTATGTAACTACAAAAAATTTGTCTTGGTCTTTATAATCCAATAAAAATTAATTATATACACAACTAAGTAAATTTATTTCATTCTCAGTTGAAAACCTGTGTTGGGTTTTATATGTCAAAAATTTGTAACTAATCCTAATACATAAAAGCATTTACAGGGTAGGAAAGTACCGATGGTCTACATATCTAAAGTTACGTGAGAGCGATAAAGTAAGCCATAGAAATCCATGCGATAGAGAAGGATGGCTATAATGAAGGCCTCTCATAGACGCCGCCCGTTTCGCTCTTCCACAAATAAGATGTGGTTCTTATTTGTGGAAGGGCGAAATGGGCGTTGACTATTAGATGCCTTTATTGTAGCCATCCTTGTCTATCACATGGATTTCTATGGCTTACTTTATCGCTCTCACGTAACTTGTGATAGACCATGGATACTTTCCTACACTGTATCTGAAGTTACGTGAGAGCGATAAAGTAAGC